ATGAAAGACAAAGCTTTAGAGCCAGTGGGTCAAAATCATTTGAAAGTGGTGGAGTAATTATTATCACCCCTCACAGAGTCATCAACCCTGCAACTGGATCTGGGAAGCAGATTACAATGGGTTTCTGCTTTATAGTGTACATGGGGCCTACATTAGCTGAACCATGATAAAGCCTTACTCAGGTCCAAAGGTTTAGATAAATTTAGAGACAAAAGTTAAAATTCCATTAGGTCCCCTATGCATGTATATTTACACTGCACTGTTACTGAGTCACAGAACAGCTCTGCTATAAGCAGCACCCCTCACATGCTAATATACCAGCACACACACATTTGGGGTGCATTATCTGAAATAATCTTGTGAAGCTCTTCTTTTCTTCCCTCTCACCCCAGATGCTTTCTATAGATGTTCTGGTTGCCCTGATTTTGGTTGTGACTTTTGACTATATTTGGAAAGTTTAAATACATTAAGAGAGCACCTCAGTATTGTCCTCTGCTTATTAGAGACATGCAGCAAACAAAGTCCCAGGTTCTGCTCTTTATCAAATGGCTTCCATACAACACAGGCCTTGGAATCCCTAAAAGTAATCACAGTCTGGCAAGTCTCTGCCTCAGAAAAGTATCACGTGGACAGGCGCTTCAGAGTTTTTTAGTCATGCTGTCCCGTATGTGTTGTAACTAAATGGTGTGACTAAAGAGGACTTTAGCATGCTCCAGGGCTAGCAATCTGGCTCATTTCACACACATAATATTAACATTTAAAAATCACTAACAGAAGCATGTATGGATATATCTACACAGTAGTATTATTCAGAATAACAGATGTTATTCCAAAATAACACAGTCCACATCTACACTATAAGCAGTTATTTCGACATAATGTCGAAATAATGTCGAGCCAAAGGACTTCTTACTCCAACTCCAGTAACCCTCATTTTATAAGCAGTAAGAAGGAAAAGTGCTTATAAAAAGAGGGTTACTGATATTCCATATACAATAGAGAAAAGAGCAGTTAAACATCATGTAATATGTTTTTGTTGAAAAAGCAGACAATAAATTGATGTTTATTATTTTTCTTGTACTCAAAGTTTTATATTAACTAACTTTTTTGGATTAAATAGCTATTTTTATCACATCAATATTATCACGATATAAATTGGCTCCCTCTACTGGCCAATTTGCCACATTTCTACATATATATATAGTTTCTTCCAAAGGGGGGAAGTATTTGTTGCATACCCAGTTTCTGTTCATTTCAGCATGCTAAAAAAATTTCAATTTCTATTTTGAAATAGCTTATTTTGAAATTTGGTGTGTCTACACTGCACCAAATTTCAAAATGATACACTATTTCGAGACATCCCTTAACTCTCGTGGAACAAGGGTTACAGGGATGCCGAAATAGCATGCCCATTATTTCGAAAAATATTTCAAAATAATGGTCGGCTTGTTAAGATGCAGGGTAGTTATTTCGGGATACTGGAGGTATCCCAAAATGGCCACACAGTATAGACCAGTGGTCCCCAACCTTTTCAGGTTGTCGGGCGCCAAGGGGCGTGGCCGTTCCCCCGCCGGGCGCCAGGGGGCGGGGAAACTTGCACGCCCGAGGGCGGCCCCCCCATGCGCCGCGCGCCCGGGGGCGGCACTCCCTCCCCCCCGCAAGCGCCGCGCGCCATGTGCCCGGGGCCAGGCCAGCCCCGAGCACCTGGCGGGCACATGAAAATGCCCCCGCGGGCACCGTGTTGGGGACCACGGGTATAGACATACATAGAGGAGAAAAAAGTGGTGTTTGGATGGGGAGCATAGTTCCAACAATGTCAAAAACTCCCTTTCTGTATTTTTGTAACAGATTGTTTTGACTTTTCCCTTCAAAACACTGTTTTTCATTTTGAATTTAAAAAAATATAAATTAAAAAAATACAATTAAAATGTCAAAATAGAAATAGAAAGTTAATGTTGTTGAAAAAATGTTTGGGGTAGAGTGAATCTATTTTTTTCGTGGAATTTTCCTTTGTGGTAATTTTGAGGTTTGACATCTTCCACGAAGTGGAACTTTCATTTCCACATAGCTGTACTTCAGATACATGCAGGAGCAGGACTGGCCTCATATAAGCAGTGGGCAAGTTACAAATCTATTAAGTTTTTTTAAAACCAGATATAAAGCTCTGAGTAGAACAGAGGGCACATCTATACTGCAGCTGACAGATGCAATTCCCAGCTTGGAGAGATATACACATGCTAGCACCTAAAAAAAATCAGCGTGATTATCGTGTATATAGATTATAAAGTATAATCCTTAGCAACCCGCTGAATATGTACTTGGGCTCTTAGCCTGAGCCACTACAGGCTCGCTGCTGTTTTTAAGCACCAGCTTGAACAGAGCTATCACATGTACATTTATCCTGGATAGGAACTACCCTCCCAGCTATTGTGGAGACATACCCTTGGCAAGGGAAGTGACTGTGGTCAGCGAGGATGTGGACTGAATCATATAGAAATTGTATTGGATTAAACCCAAGGTCCATCTACTAGTGTAAGTGGTGCGGATGAGATGCTTTCGTGAAAGATGCATATAATCCCTTAGCAGGCAAATATGGGATAATCATGTCAATCCTGTCAACCCTTAGACTTAAAAAAAAATAAACTAGAACATACATTGCATCTTTTTAACACTGTTCATTCATCTTTAAGATTTAGGAAAAATACATGTTCGTTAAATACATCAGTCTTGGGTCTCCTGCTCCCTTCAATACACTTTCATTCATAGGGATGGGGATTATGAGCATGCACAGAGGAAATAATAAAGTCATGCTGATGAGGGTGTGTTTCTATAAGGAAAAATAGCATGCCAAAGTAGGTGCTATGGAAACAGTGTTTATAGAAAATAGAGGCATTAAAAATCAGTTCTAAGCAGTTGGGGGCAATTGCTGGGGCATATATTGTTCTGCCAGATGGCGACACACTTGGATGAACACTCCTTTCTGCCAGCTTTTAAGGCTGGTTTATGATTCTTGCTTTCTTGGCTATTTTGTAGAGGTGTCTTTTGAGTGGCTTGTGGTCCACAGAAGGTGGGTGTGATTGGACGGAATGTCTCAGCAGACAAAGAGTTTGCAGCCAACAGGGTGCTCTCCAAAAGGGAGAGAGGCTATGACAAATATTTAAAGTAAGGTAACATATGCAGAAAAGTGAACAGATTCCCTAGCTTGGAGAATGGCCCAGGCCTATGACCAAAGATATGAAAGACTCTCTCCTCCATCTGTTTCCTACGTAGCTGTTCTTATGATAGCATTTCTCCTGTGCATGGAAAGGATGAAGATGAACCAAAGTTTATCACTTGCTCACCAGGAATCAAAAAGTGCTCTGCCACAGTGAGTTTTAATGAATGGGAAAATATATATCTCTTTGTAGAAGTGACTAGTGAACTCCAAAGGGGCACAGGTTGGGTTTTGGTAGCCCCTTGAACATCTGGATGCTTATCCAAAATGCTGGGATCTGTAGAGTCTGTTAAATTGGATAGGATATCTTAAGAATATCAAGTTCCTGTGAGATTCTGGCATTTCCTGATTCTAGTTGAATCAAAATATCAGAGCTAGCTTTTCTTGTGAAATGAAAGCACTCCCGCAATTTGGCAGAACAAAGAAGGAAAGAGGTGCTCAAAACTTCATAATAATTATCCCGGTGGTTAAGACTGTGCCACCTACAATCAGACTCAGGCTCACAGATCCTGCCTCATTTATACCAGTGTTAATGTAGGATAACATTATTGATTTCCATGGGAGTTGAATGTCTTTCTGGATGTGTGTCTCTACATTGTAAATAATAATCCAAGCTTTCTGAACTAGCAAAGTTTCAGTTCATATTTTAGCTAAAGGGTTGACTTGTTTTTAACTAGTTAAACTATTCTTTTTTGTACTCGTAAACAATGAGTTTTTCACTTTTACTAAACAATATAATGTTGGATTTTGGAAAGTGGGTCAGATGGCTGTATGAAACAAACAATATTAGCAGGGCTCCAATTGGAAGGACAAGGAAACTACCAACTTATACACCCTAAACCCAGACAAATTACTGGTTGCTTGCTTGCAAGTCCCTTATAGTGGTGTTTCGGGCAAGTATAATTAGGTGGTTGGTGGTAGCACATCAATTTCAAAGGAACATACATGTGGTTTCCAATTGCTATGCTGACAATTCAGCAAGGAAGTAAAAGGCAGATGACCTCTGTCCTTACCATAAGCCTGAGTGGGAGCTTTAGAAAATTAGAACACCTCATAGTTAGAGCCCTGCGTGCATTCAAAATTTGTATCTGCACCTATATCTACAAAAATGAGCTGCATATATCTGCATCCACATCCACAGATGTGGATACTCATAGATATAAAGCAGATATTCTCAAATTTGCAAGGTTCTAGGTTCAAAATTTGTATCCACATCCACATCTGTATTTGCAGATATAAAGCGAGTATCTGAGGATTTACATGTCTCTACTACATGTTAATTCAGGCTGGAGAAGCTAAATTTGCAGTGTTACTCTAACTCACTGACCATTTTCTCATAACTAATTCATGTTTCTTAGTTTGAGTTTGTTTGTGTGTGTATAATAAGCTGTTATAGTTTTCTGCATTTAGTAACTTTTACCATACTCTCAGTCTAAAGGATGGAAGAAAGAACTGGTTATGACACTATACCAAACAAGTCTTGAGTCTAAACCAACTTGGGGGCAACTTCAGGACACTGTATGGGTAGCAGTGTCATGTCACATCTCTGAATAAGCTCACCACCAGATGCAACATTAGTTATTCTAATGACATAACAGTTCTAATGATTCCAACACAAGTTGTTCACATTTCAGTCAACGAAAGCAGAAGGAAGATGCTGCATATAATTTGCTATTCATATATTTCTTGTGGATGAATTTTGTTAAAACTGTTGCCTGCATTAATGATAGTACTCAATACAATGTTAGAAGCAATCACAGAACTCTCTTATAATTTCTCTTCTTACCAAGTTGCTCTGCTAAATGTTTGCCTCTCTCAGTGGAGATTACACGCTCGTCCTCCATGTCACATTTATTCCCGACCAAAATAACCTGGGCATTATCCCACGAGTATGTTTTGATTTGAGTTGACCTTAAAGAGAGAGAGAGAGAGTCAAAACAAAGAAAACTGCTCCAAAAATCAAATTCACCAGAATCATAGTAAGATAAATGAAAACAAAACTGACATCTGTACTAAAATGATTCTTTGCTATTCTGTCCTTCAAATAAGCATAGGATTGCACAACGCAAAACATAAGAGCAATATTAGTATAGTCTACAGTCCCCCTGAGTCAGGGGACAGACTCCTTTTAGGATTTCTTCTGCCAGAAGCCTTTCTTCCTTTATTACTGAAAAGTAGCTGCTTGCAAGTCCCGTATAGTGGTGTTTTGGGAAAGTATAAATAGGTGGTTAGTAGTAGCATGTCAATTACAAATGGACACAGATGTCATTTTCTCCCTTCCTCCCAGAACAAAAGGGATGAATTTTCACATTTCAACAAAAGATCTTCTAGCGGAACCAGAGTGGTTTTTACAAAAGACTAAAAGTTTATTCATATCTTATCTTCCACCTTTCAAAATCAGGATCTAAGGATGCACCTACACAGCATCCTAAACTTGAAATAAGATACGCAATTTGCGATTCTATTTTAATTTTATTGCAAAATAGCTTATTTTGAAATTTGGCACATCTACACAGCTCCAAATATCAAAATAACACCCTATTTTGAGACATTCCTTAACCCTCGTGGAACAAGAGTTACAGGGATGCCGAAATAGCACACCCGTTACTTAGAAAAATATTTCAAAATAATGGGTGGCTTGTTAAGACATAAGGTAGCTATTATGGGATACCTCTAGTATCCTGAAATAGTCACGCATTATAGATGTACCCTAAATTTAACCACAAAACTTCAAAGGCATTCTGGCTCTCTCCTGGTATTCCTTTCCAGCATATTCTCTTGGGGTGTGTTTAGACTACAGGGTTTTGTTGACAAAAGTGGACTTTTGTCGACAAAACTATACCTGCGTCTACACTGCCACTGAGTTCTGTTGACATACCGTCGACAGAACTTGGAAGTTTTGTCAATGGCTGTAAACCTCATTCTACGAGGAATATCGCCTTTTGTCAACAGAGTTCTCTCAACAGAAGGCGTTATTGCATCTACACTGTCCTTTGCGTCCACACTGTCATGTTGACAAAGCGGATTGCTTTATCAACAGATCTGAATGTAGTCTAGACGCTCTTTGTCAATAGAAGCCTTGTCGACAGTATCTGTCGACAAAACTTCCGTTGACAAAAGCCTGCAGTCTAGACGTACCCTAGGAGTCTTTTGTTCTATCAGGGCTATGTTATCCCCAAAACCTTCCCTTTGCTTTTAAAATAATATGTGTCAGCACAATATTGTTTTAGATAATTTTGACACAGTATCACAGTCTTGTTCCTGACTTTAGGCAACATCAAGCCAGTCTTACCAGAGTTCTGTTTCTTTTTTTAAAACATTTTTTTCTTTATGATAAATCCACAGAATTAAGTAGCTGCTGCTGCAGAATTTGGTTCCATTATACAGAGGGCATAAGAGAGGCTTAAATGGCAACATAATGCTGTTGCTCAGTTACTTTTGATACTAGCAAGTGAAAGTTGTACACCCAGTAGTGGCAATTTTCCATCACGTATCGCCATAAGTATACACTAACTTTATCCAGGTAGTATGGTAGAGAGACCATGTGGGAAATCCTCTACTCTGGTTGCACCCAGTGCAAGATCACAGAATGGACTTGTGCAAAAATGTCTGCAGGCCACCTTTGCAACCCTTATGGCCAATCTGCCTATGTCCATACACTGGGCACTAATTAGAGCAGCCTGTTGTAGCTTAAAATGCCAACCCCAAGACCTTAAATGTTCATTCCAGTAGCTGGATATGTCTGGACCATGAAGGGACTCTGCCACTCACTGGTCTCAGAATGACGTCACCTGCACTGAGGCCATAGGCTGAATGGTATAGAATTTTTTACTGCAACTCTGCATCACCAAAGGTTTCTCTACTGCGTAGAAATTAGCCAGAGGGCTATTTAGGCTGGCTCACGGTTACTTTGCTCTACCATTGTAAGCAAAAAGCAGATGAAATGGGACTGAAGGTCTAGACCTATATGTTCATCATTTACATAGTTAATGATGATATGTGATCTGAAGCATTTGTTTATACACTGTTCTTCTAGGCTTTTTCTTACATTAATATGTAGCATATCATAAGGTAACTCAATTAAAGCAGTCTACAGAGGTCAGAATTTTAATACTTTTAATACTATTTATTTTATATTATACTTAAAGATACTATGGCTTTGAAAATAGAATGCCATAAATTAATTGTGTAAAAATGTACTTTTGGAACCACACTGAGTTCTTATAGAATGTGTTGTTAATCAGAAGAGGATTAATAGTTGTCACCAGTCCTACACTGTCAAATCTATTACACAACTGAAAGGGGCTGGGCCTTGGGCAGAAGGGCCTCCTCATCACTGCCCCAAGTGTGCTATATGGGCTCCTGTGGCAATGTAAAGGGTCTGGGGCTCCAAGTGCCAGCGACCAGGAGCCTCCTGGCCCTTTTGAATTGCCAGGCCCCGAGACAGTTGCCCTATTTACACCCCCTGCCCCCATCATGAGGCCTGATTTCAGCTGCAAGTTAAGAGATATTGTCCTTGATAATTATCATGACAATACAGGGTCAGAGAAAGAAAATTTGACCTTAAGTTCTCATTAGTTCTACATGGTTTGCTTCTGTTCAGAGATGACTTTGCAGTGCAGAAATGCAAATGACATTCTGTGGTAGTATTCAGAGCAATTTCTTCCCTCACTCCTTTCCATTACACTGTCACATCAAAAGCAGAATGGATTCAAAAGTATTTAATAAGGTTGCCACCATTATGTTTTCCTCTGACATTTATTACAACTAATGGCTTCTATAGATTTTTTTCATCCACAAGTCACCACAAAAGCCAACACAAAGGTCTATTAAAACACATTTTTCCCCCTTAGCTGCATATATGACCTTTCAAATAGCAAAGCCTTTTGACAAACTCAAACTATGTAGTTTTGTCCTCGCAAAGAACTTTAGCCTCAGGAAAACACAAAAAGGCAAAGCTGTAATTTGCAGCAAGCTGAATGCAGCAATTATGGTTCAGTCTAACTGACGTACTGTACAGCAATAGTAAAATTTACCTTGCTTTCATACGCTAGTTGCATTGTAAGCATGCAATCTGAAACACCCTAGTTTCTAAAATATATGGGCACTATAGACACATGCTCATACAGCAGCTCAATGATCAATTCTTTTTCAGTGATCAGCTAAAGCCTTGTATTGCAATTCAGCTACATTGCTTATAGATCAAGAGGGTTGCTGCAATGCTGATTAAAGCAACACTGTTTCCCCTTCTAAGTATAATACAGTATTCTACAGTAATACTGTGATGGGGTGCAGTCAAAGAAGACCCCTTGGGGTGCTTCCCAGGGTGCTGACAAGGCCACTGCCACACACCTCCCTGCTCTCTGGGGCTTCTCACCGCTATGTCCTGCTGGGTCAGCTCCCTGGTCTCCCTTGGCCAAGGATCAGAGCTGAAATCACTCTCCCCTCTCCTCCTCCCCTCCCCGAGAAATGATACAGACACTGAAACTCTTCAGGTCCAAGGAAAATACAGTTTTGGGCCCAGTTTCCCAAGATACTCCTCAAATGGAATCAGAACCCCAAATAAATTATTTAGGTAAGCCCACTTTAAAAATGAAAGGGGGAATGTACACACTGGTTGCTCCCCCAGGTAACAATTATATATACTGGGCTTGATAGTAAGTAAAAGTGATTTTATTAAGTATGAGCAGTAGGGTTTAAGTGGCAATAAGTGAGAACAGGCAGAGCAAAGTAGATTATAAACTTAAAATAACAGAAAACGCTTAGCTAAGTCTAACACTGAAATCTCATTACAAACTCATTACAAACTCACCCTAAAACTTTTCATTTTCCAGCTAAGCTTTCAAAACCAGGGCAGCAGCTCCTCACCCTGGGGTCTTTGGTTCACTCTCTTGGGTGTGTTATACCAGCCAAAGACAAAGATCTGCTAGTCTCCTATTGTTTTTAAAGATTCCACTTTAGATTGGAATTCTGTTTCTACATTCTACCCTTCCACTGCTTGGTCAGCTTCCAGCTGTTGGGGTGGACATGTGACTTCCTCAGGCCAACCATTGCTAAGACTTAGAGGACAAAGGAGATTGTTTACAGTTGGTCATCTTCCAGAAACTGAGGGTTAACACCCTTGATGGCTTTCATTTGCACATTTAAAATCATAAACCATTCCCATACTCCATATACCTAACTTTATACACAAGAATGATACATACACCAAAGTAAGATACACAGACCCAGCAAATTAAGACATTACAATTGATAAGTTACATGAAGCAACTTGTCCAAAGCATCTTTAAGTTATACATATTTGTGTTCATAAGTCCATTTCATAAAGCATGGGGAGGGAGTCCGTCACAAATGCCTCAAAGCACTACAATTCACACAAATGTTACTGTCGTGTTTTGGACTGTTACGTTAGAATACTGTCAAGATTACTGTCTTTTTTTCATTAGCTTTGGTGGTGTCAATCATTTATGTGGAAGCTACTAAAACAGCCTTTAAATTCTCCTTTGTGTACAATAAACTATAAACAATTAGGTAAAGAAATAGGCCAGAAAGGCTCCATGTGCATGTGCATGCACATGCTAATTTTGCTCACAGGCGCAAATCCTTTTAATTCTTATTACCTATCAAAATATGCTTCTGAAAACAAGCAAGCTCTTTAGATTAATGGGTGTGGCATGTTTTTATATATTTCCTTCAAGAATCACTTACAGAACCAGAGAGTAATATCACAATATCATTGAGATAGCCATATGGATTAGGACCCCAAAGTGCATCACAACCATATTTTAATGGGCTCACCGGGGCTGGTATAGAGTTGTTGGGCCCAAGGCCAGAGCCGAAGCCTGAGACCCACTGCCCAGGGCTGAATCCAAAACCCAAAACTTACTGCCTGAGAGCAAAGCCTGAGGACT